GAGCATCCCATTGAGGGATTGTATGGATTTCTTTAACTTTGGCATAGGGAATTCGAAAAAAAGCTCGACATTTGTCAGGGTTGACCTCGATCCCCTCTCAGTAAGGTAGAATCCGAGGAATTTCCCTGCTCATACACCGAAAGTGCATTTTTTTGGTTGAATCACATTTTACACTTTCTAGCTTGGTCGAAGAACTTTTTGGTTGAATCACATTTTATACTTCAAGCATATCTCTGATTTATGATCGAAAGACTTTGTTCATCATTCGATGGTACGTGGCCTCAGTGTTTTTCAGACCGAAGGGCATTACGTTGTAGTAATAGTTGTCCGAAGAGGTCATGATAACGGTGTACCTCTTGTCCTTCTCTGCCATGGGAATTTGGATATATCCCGAGTATGGATCCATGAAGGATAAGAGTTTGAAACTGGCAGAGTTATCTACTAACTTAATTGATGCTAGGCAAAGGATAAGCGTCTTTTGGGCAGGCATGATTGAGATCGGTGTAATCAATGCACATTCTCCACTTTCCATTATGTTTTTTGACTAATACAATAATGGACATCTAGGTTATATACCTAGCTTCCGAAATGAATTTGGCCTCTAAGAGGTCTTTTACAAGTTTTTCCGTCGCTTCAGTCTTCTCGTCGGGTTGTTTGCGCATGTGTTGTGCTACCGCTCGAACTGATGGGTCGATGGTGAACTGATGGCAAGCAATTTATGGATCTAGGTTGGGCATGTCTGTGACGCTCCAAGCAAAGAAATTTGTGTTAGCTTTCAGGCACGTCTTCAGCTGCTATTTCACCTCTTCGGACAATCCTGCGCCTATCCTAACTCCTTGGTTGGGATTGTCCCCGACGATGATCACTTCGAAGTCCCCATCTAGCATTGGGCGCATGACAGTTGCAGAGGGGGAGCTACCCATTGAAACTGGAGTGTCTTTACTATTGTCTTTTTTGCCTTCTTTTGAGATTCGACTTTCGATGTCAATGGTGTGGACCTGGAGCGCTGGCTTCTTCTCGGGATGGCATTCTTTGTTGGGAAGATCTTCATCTATTGCTCGTTTTACGACTTGTGGTGTTATGCCAATGAACTCTGCCTCTTGGTACCTTCCTCGAAGCATCATCTTGCAACTTTGATGTCCCCATGAAAAGTGGCGACATGACCCTTCTCTATGTAGCATTTCATCTTGAGATGAACCGTGGATGGAACAACATCTAGCAGTAGCCCCATTAAATCCCTGCAAGTCTGAGCCCACGTAAGAGGACAAGTTCTTCTGATCGAGTTTGAGGGTGTAGAACAGGTTAGTGTACATGATGTCTACCAAACTCCTTTGATTGACAAGGATTCGGCGGACATCTGTGTTGGTCAATCTGGCTTTTATGAGTAGAGGAATGTGAGCGTTGGAGGAGCCTCCAGGGAGCTCCTCAAGATAAAAGGTTATGGGTTGAGAGTGTCCTCGAAACGTTTTGAGTGTTGATAGTCAGTCTGGGCTACAATCGATCAGCTGGTCGAATTTCATCGTCACTGATCCTACTATGAGCTTGTTGTACCCGCCGCAAGAGATGACCATCGCGCTGGGGAAGGCCTCCCAGGAGCTGCCCGAGGAGACATATTAAGGATCCTCGAGATAGCTGGGCCTCATCTTTGCACTATATTATACCTTCGAGTGTGGCCTCATATTTCGGGTGACGCCTGGAGGCAGTGAAATGTCAGGGAAACTGCTCTTTTAAGTTCCTCCATGAGGTGATCGAGCCCCGAGGAAGACTCTTATACCAGGCTATAGCCCCCTTCTTGAGGGTGATGGGGAACAACCTGCATTTGATAGCCCTATTTAAATTTTAGTAGTGCAACATGACCTTAATGTTCTCTATGTGGTCACCAGGGTTTGTGATACCATCATAGAGAGCTAGAGGGGGAGGCTTCTCCAGCCCACAAGGAATGCAGGTATCCATGATCTTCTGGGATAGAGGTCCATGGACGTCGTCTTTGCTGCTCGTGCTTGACGACCTGCTAAGAGAATAACTACGTCCACGGCTTCTGCTGCGTCTAGGAGAGTTCCTGTACCAACTACAGTGCTCTTTGCGAGGCTTTTCTAAAGGCCTGGTTCTCTTGGGCACTGGAGAGTGCCTGAACCTCAGGGGAGGGGTACAATTGCGTCTTTTGGTGATTTCATGCTCATGTTTCTTCGACTTGGATTGTTCCTTGATAGGGGAGATGCTTTGAGACTCGTCTCGCCGGTGTTTCTAATGTGGGGAGCGAGACTGGGGAGACGGACTTAGGGATCTCCACGGGGGAGGTTGTTCTCCGATGATGTTCTCTAGCATGTGGATCTTTTTCCCTTGCTGGAAAAACAAGTAGTTGGATTTGTATAGAGAGCAGTAATGAGGACCGCAGTGCAGGGATCAACATCTTGAGGGACGAGGATGAGCTCGTATATGTGATTGGAACTCTGGACGCGGGGCTTCACGTTGTCGGAGGGTGGGCATGCAGGTTTTTCATCCCTGTGATCGGTCTCTTCGGCAGCAGCTCCGAGAATGGGGTTTTGCCGCAACCTAGAATGGCGACGACACAATCTTGATGGACGTCATTGTTATTGTGAGAGGCCATGACGATGAAGGTTTAGAGAGAAATAACTTTGGTCTTTTGTTTTGAAAGATTAGAGGATCTTTGTTCAAAAAGACGGGGGAACTGGGTTCCCACAGACGGAGCCACTGATCTGGAGTGATTAGAATGGATCATCTTAGCCTTCAATGTAGGGCAGCAACAGTGGTTGTAGGAGAGGAGGGGGTGTAACTGCAAGGTACTATGATGCCAAAGTAAGTTTAGGTTAGAGAGAGTAAGTACAAGTCTTTAGGTATGAGTTAGAATGATTAGAATACCTTACCTTCACAAGAGAGAGGGTATTTATGAGATTCCCCCAGCGCGGGGCCAAGGTCTCCCATGTGGCCGAAATATCTGGTCGACCAATGGGAGACTGCTAGGTGGAAGATCTAGCGAGTGATCTTTAACTTGGTCCAACTGTCCCCGTGAATCTCGGAAGGGCAGTTGGTCGTGTGAACTGTCAAGCGCGTGAGGGGTATGTCCCCAACAGCTATATTCTCCAACAACTATATTGTACCCAACGATAATATTGTGTCCAACGACTATATTGTGTTCAACAGCTAGATTGTCTTAATCTTTTTATTGGGTCTGACCTTAAACTAAACTGGATTAGGCCTTACCCAACTGTAGAGGATGTGTCAGTCTAGTCCAAATATATATATATATATATATATATATATATATATATATATATATATATATATATATATATATATATATATATATATATATATATATATATATATATATATATATATATATATATATATATATATATATATATATATATATATATATATATATATATATATATATATATTGTTTTAACCCACTAAACGTGGAATCTGAACTATGAATTTCGTAGTAAATAAAAAAAAATCATATGAAATAACTTTGACGCTTAGTGAAAAAAGATATAAAATTTTAATATTTTAAAAAAAAATTCAAAATCTTTTTTTAAGAAAAATAAATCGAAACTCGCATATGTTAAGAGGGGTGTTATTTATTTAACCATTTAAAAAATAATGATATATATATATATATATATATATATATATATATATATATATATATATATATATATATATATATATATATATATATATATATATATATATATATATATATATATATATATATATATATATATATATATATATATATATATATATATATATATATATATATATATATATATATATATATATATATATATATATATATATATATATATATATATATATATATATATATATATATATATATATATATATATATATATATATATATATATATATATATATATATATATATATATATATATATATATATATATATATATATATATATATATATATATATATATATATATATATATATATATATATATATATATATATATATATATATATATATATATATATATATATATATATATATATATATATATATATATATATATATATATATATATATATATATATATATATATATTTAACATGTTAACTTAATATGCGTAAAAAATGAAATAATAACATTTAAAATATTATGAAATGGGGAGATTAAATTTTGTCATTTCCTTGTAATGAGGAATTATTATGAAATGGGGAGATTATTAACCCTATTCAAGACCCTAATCCTTAGATCGGTGGTATTCATTATCAATTTGAGATAGGTATCAACAACATTAGGTCTTTGTCTGAACGTACTACCTTATCCCATTTTTGAAAAAAATTGCTCACTTCATCACTTTTGCTCTTACTCTAAAATTCAAAAGTTGAAGAAGAAGGTTTAGAGAAAGGGTGTAATGGGTTACACTCTGTGTGTAATTGATTACCACACTTAAAAACTGGCAAAAATGAAGCAGAACTAGTGTGTAATGGGTGACCTTCTGAAGGAAATCACAGGAGCAGGATCAAAAATCTCAGAAAGAAAAGAGGAAGAAATTAGCCCTGATCATTGATATAATGGAGCCAAGGTACTACTGAGAACGGAGAAGAGATAGGTGGTTCAAGAGCAGAATCAGAGATACTAACCAAGCAATCCGGAGCACCAAGAGATCTGATTTACTAATAATTTCCCCAAAGCATATAGCTCACGTGGCTGATCCATGAACTAGGAAGGAATTTAAGAATGAGGTTTAAAATAAAAATAATGTTTACTAAGAAATAAACATATATACAAATTTCCCATAAAAATATACTTTTACTCCCAAAAGAATAAAAGAATATAAATATATTTATTTTCTTATTCCATAAAAGTATATTATTAGTCAAACTTCCGGACTAAAAATATGTTCAGAAAAGTTATCTATTAATGAATATCAAATTGTAAAGGAAAGAAGAAGTGGCTATAAAAAGGGACATGGCTAACACATTAGAAACAAATTCTATACACCATGTCTCATACATGGATGAAAATTATTGCTCCTTTCTTTTGTTTACTGCTACTAGCTCTATCAGAAGCAGCCATCTTTCCCCATCCAGTGCACATAGAGCTCCTCAACAAATTATCTGATAACAAAAAGCTAACCATTCATTGCTACGAAAGATACGGCGAAGATCTAGGCGAGTTGATAGTCCCGCCCGGCGGGCAATTCAACTTTGCATTCATGCCGAGAGTAGTCGGTAAGTCGAGCAAGTATTATTGTAGCCTTAGATGGGATGGTTCCAACCTCAAATGGTTTGATATGTGGTCACAAGGAAGGGATTATAATGCATGCAGAGTTTGCAAATGGATCGTAAATGAGAAGGAAGCTTGTAGGTTTGATTACGGTACAGGAGCTTATTCTGTTTGTGTTGTTTACAATCAATGAAACTAAAAGTGTGCCTTAATGTTTGTTCTTGAATAAATTATATTTTAGTCTTGAAATATAATATTGAACAAGTAATTTTTTATTGATTTCGTTCATAAATGTTTATTTACGAATTAAATACTAAATAAATACTTGAGCGTACCTAATAAATATTTTATTTTAAAATGTGTTTAAATTAAAGTTAGAATATATAATATATTATATAATTAATTTAAATAATATGATTATATTAACTAACATATATTATATAATATTTACTTATATTGAAAATTATTACAGTTTTAAATGAGATTAACTATTTTTATTTTTTAATAAAAGGTGAACATTGTTGTAAATATATTTTAATAAAAGGTAAAAGTTGTTTAAATTTTGTATTGTATATTTTAACATTAAAACTATTTTAAACTATATTTTAAGAGAAGTAATTATATTTTTCGTTTATTTAAAATACAATTCTCTACATTGCAAAATTTTAAACATAACTTCTTATATCACTTTTTAACACGTGGTGATGGAGAAATGTCAAATTTGTTGTATTTTAATTTTGTTCGGCTTTTAGGTTTTTTAAAATGATTTATTTGTTTATTTATTTGGTTTGATTAATTTCTTTTATCTCTTTATAAATAAAAAATATATAGTTAGTTTTTTTTTGCATTTATTTAATTTGAAATAGTTTATTTTTATTTTTTGGTTTTATTTAGTCTAAAATTCTTTTATAAAATAGTTTAATTCTTATTTTTGCATTTCACTTATTTCTTAAAATATAAAAATACAAAAGAAATGTTATTTGTTTTATTTTTTTATTTTTTTATTTATTTCAAATCTTAACAAGAAAGAAATCATATTTCGTATTATAGGAAAAAGATTTGAGCAAATATTTCTTTTGATGTTTTCTATTTGCACTTATTAACTATACTTTTTTTCTTTTAGTTAATCTAGTTGTTAATATAATTAACATATATTTTATAAAGTAATGGATACACATTAGCTTTGATCAAAGGCCAAATTACACTCACCAAAATTCACACAGAAACTCCCAAATCTATCTCCCTCCCGTGTGTATTTGCAGAAAAATATCATCACCTTAAACACTTCTCCTTCACCCTTGCAACCACCACTTTCCTCCATCCTAAACAAATTGCATTACATAACATTCCACCATTAAGAACTCCATTAATCACCTTCACAAATCAACAAACATGACATCTTCAACCTTGAACATAACACCAAACATAACAACACCTTCACTTTCTTCACAACCAAAACCAAACATCACAACCAGCAATGTCAATCATAAAAACAAAGTAATAAAAACTCATAAAAACAATTAATTCAAACAGAATAATTTTTTAAAAAAAAAGGGAAGAAGAAGACGAACACAAGCAGCTTTCAGCAACCACCTCGTTCGCACATCATTGTCAGCCTTGTTTGCACCACCCCACGCCGACGGACTCCTTCCCGCGACACACATCACCGCGCACCAATCTCGTTCCCTATAAAATAGGATGAAAAAGGCTCCATTGAATATATATCCCTATAATCCGCAAGTATTTGGATATAAATTATATTTTTCTTTTGAATCCTAATCTTTCTTTCACACCTTTTTTGCAATATAATCGCAAGAAAAAGGATCCATTTAGCACTCTAGTTAATTATTTTAATTGAATTTATATTAATTTATTTTATTGATATACGTCTTTATTTTTTTTATTGGTAATTAATTTAATTTAAATAAATATTAAAGTTATTTTAGAGTTGGGAGAAAATATAATCTTATTTAAAATTAAGGAGTGAAGTGTAGATTGAGTAAGAGCTGAGCTAAAATATGATTTATTTAATTGAATAATAGAAGTAAAATAGGAAAAAGAGTTTTAGTGAGGATGTGAGGAGAATTTGGAGTTAAAGGAAGTAATTGAAAAATTTAGGGTAAATAAATAGATAATGTGTTGGGACTTTTGTGTTGTATGTAAGAAAGTTGAAAAAGTGTGGAAAAGAGGCGGGGGAGCTAAGCAATCACACACATACACACACACACACACATATATATATATATATATATATATATATATATATATATATATATATATATATATATATATATATATATATATATATATATATATATATATATATATATATATATAGAGAGAGAGAGAGAGAGAGAGAGAGAGAGAGAGAGAGAGAGAGAGAGAGAGAGAGAGAGAGAGAGAGAGAGAGAGAGAGAGAGAGAGAGAGAGAGAGTGTTCAACGATCAAGCAACTTAGAGGCAAGGGGAAACTCTTTGCATAGTTCAACGATCAAGCAACATAGAGGTAAGGGGAAACTCTTTGCATATTAGTGTTTAGGCAAGTCATATAGTGAGGAATCATAAACCTCATATATTTTTCTCCTACATCTTTATATCCGTGATTGTTAGTTATGCGTTTATAGGCAAAAGGTTGCCTTGAACCCTTCCACCTTATTCGTACCTACCTTATTCGTGTCTATAGGAATAAGTGTTTATATTTGTGCCTTTGCCTTGTTGTTGCATAATAAATTGTGGTTGTGCCTGTTGGGGCAAACTTTCTTTGAATAATTGGATTATAATATAATTGTTTGTAACTGTTGATCTGTGTTGTTGGACAAATTATAAAAATGTCAGAAAAATTCCAAAAGGCGAATTTCTCCTAATTTTGTGCACTTTCAATGGTTTTGCTTTGCTGATGGTTAAAACTCAAATAACTGAAATAGGCGAGTTTTGAATATGTTCAATAGGGAGAAAACGCAGAAAATTGTAGGTAGACTTAAAAGAGAATTTATCGTATCATAAGTATATACCCACCATCCTATCATAAGTACACTTAAGTCCGGGTTAGGACTTATCTCACCACTCCAAAGGTTACAACCTTGCAAAAAGAAAAACCCAAGCACAAAGAGATATATGTAAAAATATATACAAATATACAAGTATCACTAGTAGAAAAAATGCTTGTTAAGTCGGTTGAAAATGACTTATTAAGTCGGGTCCGAAACTGACCTAAGAATTGCCGACATAAGAAGTTTTGACTTCTTAAATCGGATTTAGACCTGACTTAAGAAAATTTTATTAGGTCGGTTTAACTACGTCCGACTTAATAAGTCTAGGTTTTCAGAAACCCTTATCCAATTTGTACCCGACTTAAGAACTTCTTTTCTTAAATCAGATATATTTAATCGACCAAACAAGTTTGGTTTTTTTAATATCACTTTTTTGGAATAGCGCCCCCCCCCCCCCCCCCCCCCCACACACACACACACACACACACACACACACACATATATATATATATATATATATATATATATATATATATATATATATATATATATATATATATATATATATATATATATATATATATATATATATATATATATATATATATATATATATATATATATATATATATATATATATATATATATATATATATATATATATATATATATATATATACACTTTTTTTTAAGATTAACAATAACACAGTTTTGAATAATTATGATGAATTCGCTATCCATCTAATATTTACATTTGATAACTGAACTCAAAGTTAATCATAACTCTATTCATGAAACCAAATCATCAACAAATATGGACAATTGACAATATGTAAAATTATAATAAAATATAATTGTATAAATACAATAGATTGAAGTAGTTCTAAATTCATATGTATTTTGACAACAATTTAATTTAAATATTGATAATCCAAACCTGTTTCGGCCTGGGCCCCGGGTAGGTCGCGCAGGCCCAGCTCAATAAGCACTCCACCAAGCCCAGTCTAGTGTGGGCTACACGTCGGGCACAGGGTCCCCGTCGAGCAGGAAAAGGCCTCCCCGCGAGAATGACTTGCCCCAACTGGGTCGGGCAGGAGACTCCCCCCTCGACCAAACGCTGCCCTCCGCGGGCAGAACCTGCTCCCTTGTCGGACAGAACAACGTGTCCTTCACACGATCTCCACGTGTTCCCCTCCACGGGGACACGTCACCTAACCAACTGCCCACCTCCGAAAGAGCAGGTCAAACCCACTTTTCGGAGATCACGGGACGGTTGAACTAGAGCGAAGACCACATTCTGGTCTTCACTACGCCACGTAAGCCCTAGCAGCCACTTGGGTTGGGCTTGACCATCCAGCTCAACACAAGTGACCATTGGCCAAGCGTTGGGGTCTCTCTATAAATACCCTCTTCCACAAGAGGGTCAGGTAATTCACTTCTTACCCCTTTTTCTGTACTTTGCTCTCACTCTACCCAATTCCTTACTTTGACACCGGAGTGTCTTGCAGTTACACCCCCCTTCTCCTCCTCATCACCGGTGAATAGGTAGCAGTCCTACAGAGTATGGCCAGCCCGTGATCCCCTTCTGATCAGGTCAGATCAGTGGCGCCGTCTGTGGGAACAGAAACTTCCCCGTTACTCCGAGCAGAGAACCAAAGTTTCACCAACACTACACGATCATGGCTAGCCCACACCGCGACGACATCGTGCACGACTTCATGCTCAACACTGCCGCAAACAGCGACAAGCAAACGGAGACATCACGCCCAACGGAGACCGACGAGAGAGACGGCCAGAATGCATCTCCATCGTCCGCAGAACCGACACATCAGGCCGTCCACCGGCCCCAAAGCCCAGCAGCGTTCCAACCTGTTCCCGTCCCGGATGGAGCGGACCTAACGGTAGTACTAATCTAGATAAAAGTTTAGTACTAATCGTGTATGTTTTGCTGGAATTAAATATTGTAGACATGCTCTTTTTCATGGGTTGACTAAATATTTTTCTTCCAAATATTATGTCGATAATGGAGACGGGTTTGAGCATACACTGCGATGATGCCATAGCAGAAGGAAAAAGATGCGATAACAGAAAGAAGAAGAAGTAAAGAAATGGAAAAAGTTTGTTATCATTCATCTTAACTAACTTAATACAGTAATAATGTCAGTATATATACATGTATTTGTGTGAACCAATAATGATATGCC